TAGGAAAAAGAAAGAAATCACAAGAGACAAAGCCAGGAGAGTGGGGAGAATGTGACATAACAGGAAGATTGTGTTTTATGTGTTATCATAATGAAGGAGACAGGTGACATTTTCCTATATTTCTTAACTGTTCCTTCTAGCCAAATTATGCAAACACAGTAGAACCTCTCAAAACTGTGATTCGTAGGTTGAGTAACAGGAAGGTTCTCATTGTGAACTAGGCCGTTGCGATAAAAATGCTGACATGACGCCACACCTTCCATGTTTTCTAAGGGACACTGAATCATGACTCTTCTGCTCTGATTATTGATGTTTCATTTTGTGATCTTCTGCAGCGTGAGCATAGACATTGAAACACACAGTCAGTGGTCCTGCTTGTGATCTTCAGGCAGTAATTATGGGACAAATTTTGCTGACTCAGATCACAAGTTAGTTTAGACTGACACAACCTGACTTCATTAGCAACCTCATGAATTGTGACAAGATGATTATCAGAAACCAGGTCTCATATGTTAGTTGGTGCATAATTCTTTGTGTGGATGGGTGGCCACCCTCCTCCATCGTCCTCATTTGTCGTTTGGGCGTTCTCAGGTTTTAAGAAACCATCAGAATGATGTTGCATGCCATAGCACTTAATCACTAATGAGTTTGTTTCCAAAATCTCAAGAGAGAGAAATTTTTATGTGCAAGTTCTTTATCATCAGCAATTTCAGTCTGTGATGTAACATGCAGATATTATAATAGAATTGCATGTGTGAGGCTGCGAGTGCTGAACTTCATCTGCTGTTCATGGACATTGAATAAGTATGTCAGTCTCAGAACATTTTGATAGGCCATCATTTATGAATGACATTGTGATTTTCTTGCTTTCATTGTTAACTGAAAAGTTGTAAATCATGCATAATGAAATGAAGTTTAAGTCACTAGTTTTGCCCGCTGCTGTTAGTTGTGTTTTGTTTTAACAGCTTAGTAGCGATGATAATGATATCATCAGAACTCTGGTGTATGAAACAAAACCCAATTTCGTGTAATATTTTAGCTCATGCAAATGAAGTTAATATGAGCTCTTAGTTGTCGTTTTGAGCCTGATATTTGCATGTAGACAATGAAATCCCACTCATTATACAGTATAGAAGTAGAATTTAAGATTTACATTAATTAACATCAAATAAATCAATATAGTTATGTTGTCTCCTGTAATATTAATACAGTAGAACTTGGTTATAACATCATCAAAGGGACCTAAAAATAGTGTCGTTATAAACGAATGTCGTTGTAACCGAAATGGGCACCTCCACAGTAGCCTTATGTCAGTCACGTAAAAATCTACCAAAAACCAAGTTAAAATGTTGCATTTTTTAGTGAAATATGTAGTTAAGTACAGACTAACGTACCATTAACGTGGAATTGCCCAAATGTGTAATACATCAGCTTTTTTCCTTCCATTTTCTATTTCACGAATCACTTTAACTTTCTCTTCAATGCTTAAAACTTTCCTTTTCATTGCCATGTTTTCGCTACTGCACTTCTCTGGGTTTAGGCAGGAACACTATAGGGTAAGTAGACAATGTGAGGTCCTGTTAGACGAGATTCTAGGAAAGGAATGCAGTTAACAACCTGCCGCATCCTCTTGCACTATTCACGCAGTCCCACCCCCACACCCTTGTTTTCGCATAAAACCCACGCTCCTCTTGCAGCCCGCGGTCGTATTCTTCCAGGACAGTCACGTCAGCAAGTAGAGAAAGTGAGGGTGGGCAGGCACATCAAACTTTCCCACGATATCAGAGAAATTCAGGAATGAAAATGACGTTACATGCGAGGTTGATGCATTTGTGCATGTCATACTAAGCAAGGTATGAAAACAGTTGCTTTGTGAGGAATTAGTTCATACCATTGAATATTTGACGCAATAGACAAGGTGTCGCAGAAACCGATGTTGCTATAACCAAGTTTTACTGTATGTAACTTCGGCTCCCAGCCAAAAGGAAGATCAAACATTGTGTCGCAGAATAAAGTACATTATTCTCTCTGTCCACAACATTTGCTCAGTGTGTCCTTAAAGCTGAAGCCATTTTATGTATTACCTCTATAGATTTTCAAATATTCCCTGCATTTTGATTCATTTTATTGGTCTTAAAATCTTATATGTTCTACCTGAGTTGAGTAATGTCATGTGAAACGGGTCACTGTATAGATGTCCCCTTCATTCCAAGTTCCTTCACAATACAAGTCTGACTTCTATTTCAGGGATTGCAAGATTTTTGTCAAGCACTTCATCCATATGCTCGTCAGTGGAGGTTTGTTTCCTTCCACTGTGACTATTGTGCTGTGTTAGAATGGATCCAGGCTCCCTTAGCTCTTTTATTCACAACACAGTGCACTTTGGTAGAGAATCAGCAACTTTTACAATCTCCCATTTGTGGGACAGTTTTCATATGAATGAAAATAATATTTGACCATAAACACCTTTTCAACATCAGTGAGACTTATAGCATTTAAACCTAGAATACAGCCACACAGTAAGAGACCAAGTGATGCACTGATATGATTTACTGGTCTTCCACCAAAAAGTGCCCACAGTGCTGCCAACTTTTGCTGTATTTTATACTTGTCCATTAGAGATTGCACATGTTTAAGAACAAAGTGCTAAGGAGAATATTGGGGCCCAAGCTGCAGTAACAGTAATCAAATGGAGAAAATGACATTAGGGATGGTAACGGCAAATAAATGCGTTTCATGGAAACCGATATGCATTCAACTGTTGAGAACAGTGTTTTCTATTTAGTCTGACCTAAAGCTATGTAGCAAATTGCCGTCGGCAGTTGCACTTAGCAGTAGTTGGTAGCCAGTGAGTAGTCATTGATGGCTAGTGATGCCAGGAGTATGAATGAATGAATGAATGTATAAATAAAGGGTGGGCCTTCTCAGCCCTTGCTCCGCGACCTACCGTGATCTGTTGTGCTTCCCCTTTTGATTATCCCTTCAGCAGTTCTGTGGTTCATTTGAAGCACAGGATTTTGTACGTGGGGACGTTGAAATAGTCACTTGGTTGCATAAAGTATTGACCCAAGTGACATAATCTTAAATAAACTAGAGCCTCACATTCACACAGGATATGTGTTACTGTTTCATTTTCTTCTTGACACCTCTTTTTACAAGTGGGACTATTACTTAGTCCCAGTTTAAGCAGTCTCCATAGTCTAGGGGTAACGTTCCCACCTCATGACTGAAGGTACACGGGTTCAAACTCAGCGAGGTTGTGGAATTTTTAAGGGCGGAAAAATTCAAGGAACAAGTCCTCCGGGAGGGACTTTAAGCCATGGGTCCCGCGTCGTAGATTTACAGCATGTAAAAGATCCTCATGTCTCTAGGAGACCTCTGAGCAAAATTGGGCAACAATTTCCCGCCCAAGTAGTTTCCAATGCCTCTGGTAGATGGGGGAAATATCAGGTACCAATGGCCAACCTTGTTGGCTGAACGGGGCTGATAGCACACACCAGTACTGGTAGGGTATGGCGACTGTAGAAATTAAAGGGGGACGCACAATGGACCAATAACTGGTCTAAGTGCATGGGGAAGCCCACCCCCTCTAATAATAATAATAATAATAATAATAGTCCCTGTATGAAGAGGTGTCCTTTAAGGTGACAGTGTCCTTTAAGTAGTCCAACCACCCATCGTAGCTGGTTCCTGTTTAACTTCAACATTTCCTTCAATCTTTTGGCAGAGCCCCATATGGGTGGAAGGCATAAATACAACGGGGTGCTGCGTGATGCCCCAAGGGGATCATTCACGACACCGGCTAAAGTACCACCCCGGTGCCATGCGGCCCTCGGCATGATGCCTCACACCTTGGCTTAGGTGGTTGGTCCTGTTATAGGTAGATTCCTCACAAGTCTCCAGGACCCAAAGAAATCACTTGGGGGAGTTAAGGGGATGATTAATGGGAGTGCAATTCCAGCTAATCATGAGGTTGAGACCAGGAGACCTGCATGAGAAAGTTGCCCCTGGGGATAGCATAACGGTTATCAGCCCTTAAGCCCCCCCATTCCCTCCCCTCCACGTGGGTTGGTCAAACCATTTTAGAGTGTTTGGCCCAAAGGCTTTCAGCACCTTATCGGTACTCGAAGACAACTCAAGTAGCCATAGCTACCCCCACATGAGTGCTCTCCTGCATTCATCCTGGGTAGACCATAGTGATACCCAAGAGTCATTGTGCCACCGTGTGGGAGGCTCCAGTCATAAACACGCTGTTGCCCTTTATGGGATCTTAGCCATCGGTCCCAGTAGTCATAATAGTCCAGACCCCAAGACTGCCGTTGCCCAGCGGGACCATGAGGAGGTGTCCCAAGGCTGTGTTCCGACGCATCCCCCTGGTCTGGGTTACGCCCCCACCAGATACGCAGCCATAGTTCAGCCAACCTCACTGAGGACAGCATCATTACTACCCGTAACAGTGCCCTCAGGGGGTCACAGCTACATCCACCAAAGCCAGGAATAAGTTCAGAATAAATAGTTGGAGCAGTTAGTTGTGAGACAGTTGTCAGTCAGTTAGGGCAAAACCCCAAGCTGAAGAATCTACGTTACTGGGAGCTGTAAGCTAGCAGCAGCTAGTGAAGAAAAACTGAGAAGTCTTAATATGTGCTGTAGGAAGAAGCTGAGTGCATGAATAGGCGAAAGTGTTATAATTACTTATAGTTGTAATTTATAATATTCCACTAAATCCAGTTATGAATCCCAACACATTGTCTAGTCACTAACATGTGACAGTATGTGTGTGTGTGTACACACATTCCTGCATTTATGGGTGCTCATGTGCATGTAGGTGGTTTAGTTGCAGTATTGTATTTAAGTGTCCTCATGCCTTAATATGTCATTTAGGACAAATTGTAGGTATGTGAACATTGGTTGCATATTTTCCCATCTTTTTTAAATGTTATATAGATCTTCATATTGATTTGGCATGTTGCATTGTATAATGTGTGTATCTTTATTTACAGAGAAGAAGAACCGGGCAAATAAGGATGAGCCTTCAAAAATACCCACTGTTCCAGAAGTCAGCAAAACAGTTCCTAATGCAGTAAGTAATTAAAATATGTGGAGTAGGTAAATTTCTAAATCAATATAGCTTGTAATGATGTCACTGGAATGAAAGTAACGATTCATATGTTGGTTGACTTTTGACAGACTACATGGCCTTATATCAAAGATAGTACTCTCCATAATGACCGCTATGAGAACCTCAAATTCTGAATTTCCAGTGTTGTTTCATATTTCAGACAGTTCCCATAATTTATAATGTTGTCCTTATTTCTTTCATATTTGCATGTTGCATTAAGAGAATTTAATTCTGTTGTCCTCGTGTAATTATATTTTACCCAATTTAGATATTCTCAGAAGCAGCTTTTTTAATGTAGATATTCGCTTGGGAAAGGAAATGATATATTTTTGATTACTTTCTTTTCTCGGTTACATTTTTCAGACTCCTAACTCACCATCGAAAACACCAGGTGAGACTGAAGACATAAACCTTCCAACCTGGAAGCGTCCTGGTTCATTCAGGAGTCGAGGTGTTGATGGACGACTAGATCAGCCTCCAAATAAATCATTATCTTTACGTAAGTTCTTTATAGGCATAGTTGGATTGTGTAGTTAACGCTCATGCATTTGGATATGATTAGATGATGAATTTGCACAGAAACTCACAAAATTGGACACATTAAGAGCACTTCAGGCTACAGAATGTTTTGTATGTCACTAAGTGCTATTGGAAAGTTCCTGGACTGTTATTGTTGTAAATGCCTCTGTGAAAGAAGATGAAAGGGGAGACCAAGGTCACACTTCCAGAAGCCTATTACATCAATCTGCCACGTGACACTGCGCTGTGAACATGCGTTGTTTTTAGGCAAGTGCTTCTTCGACTTTGTGTTTTGTTTTTTCTGTGATGGATGGCGAAACTGTGCAACATGGCCACATCAAGTTTTGTGTGAAGCTCAGTAAATCCACTACCAAAAGCCTTGAAATGCTTCATGAGGCTTTTGGAGAACTTTCTTTAAGCCGGACAGCGGTTTCAGAATGGCATTCAGGGTTCAAGGCCAGTCAAGTACCAGTTGAAGATGACTAGCATTCAGGGCAACCAAGCACTGGCAAAATGATAGAAAATGTTGAAAACAATTTGAGAACTCATTTACAAAAACTGCTACTGAACAATCCATGGGCTCGCAGACACCGATGTGATCAGTTATGGAGTTTGCCAGGAGATCTTAATAGAACATTAGAACATGCACCTCACTGCTGCCAAGTTTGTTCCCCAACTCTTGACAAATGATCAAAAGCAGTAGTGTGTAAACGTGTGTCCAGAGCTACAAGAGAAGACTAAAAAGGACCCAGCTTTTATCTCTGGGATCATAATGGGTTACGAAAGTTGGATTTACAGTTATGATCCAGAAAGAAAGCAACAATTGTCGCAGTGGAAGAGCCCACACTCACCAGGAGCAAAAAAAGGTGCTGCAGGTCAAGAGTTCAACAGGGAGCGTGATAATTACATAGGTTGGATAAAAAGTAGTGGCAACGCCTCTATAGTTCTGAAATGACTTAGTTACCTGAGGCAAATACACTTACATTCCTTCAATATAATCGCCCCCCATATGTACCACCTTCTGCCAAATTTGTGGAAGGCAATGTACATCAGTGCGTCCACTTCTGTTGATGTCCAGCAGTGACCGCCCTACAGCACGAATAATCTCCTCTCTTGTGTTGTAACATAACCCTTGCAATGGTTCTTTCATTTTGGCAAAGATATCGTAATTGCATGGACTCATATCGGGTGAGTATGGCGATGTTGCAGTATCTCCCATTGCCATCGGCGAAGGAGATCCTTGACATCGTCAGTACTATGAGCCCTTGCATTGTCATGACGGGTGATGGTTCATTGCCAACAAGTGTCGTTGCTTTCCCCTGAGTGCTGGACGAAGATGATTACACAGGAAATTGCAGTAGTAGACAGCGTTTACTGTCATTGAGGTACAGTGTGGTGCAGTATCACTCCATCAGTGTCATATGCCACAATGAACATTACTTCACATTACTCTGTTTAGGGCGCACTTTCTTTGGACAAGGAGAGCCAGGATGCTTCAGTTCATTTGATTGTTGCTTCAAGTGTGGTTCGTATGAGCGAGCCCAAGTTTCGTCCAGAGTGACGATCCTTCCAAGGAAATCGTCACCTTTCTTCTGGTACCAGTCCAACAAGTCCTGTGAAATTACATAACATTGCCATTATATGTGATATCCAAGAATATCGTGCAGAATGTGGAGCATGGTTTTATGACATATGCCTTCCTCAGCAGCTAACTCCCATGCAGCCCATCGACGCTCGACATCCAGCAAAAAAGCAAGAAGCTGAATTGTGTGGTTGTCAGCATGGGGTTGTCCTGAATAGCATCCGTTTTTTCACAGAACAATTTCACCCATCATGCCACTGTGTGATATGGCAAAGCAGCATCACCACATGTTTCTTGCAGTCCCTGATAACAGTTTTGTGCACTACAACCTTGTGCAGCTTCAATTTTTATCCAGGAGCATTGTTCTTATTTCATAAACATGTTCTTAGGGCGCTTGAACTGGGCTCCTGCACTTCAAGATGATGCACAATGCAACTCAATGAAACACAACCAGAGCCACTCACTGCACTACTTCAACTGAACTTCTGCTATCAGCTACAGACAGCACTAGTGCCACCTGACGCACATCTTTCATCTTACAGCATTGTTGCCACTACTTTTCACCCAACCCTTGTATTTTTCTTCACATGAACGGGATTATTCACCATGAATTTGTTCCTCGTAACACTGTGGTCAGTTCAGACTTTTCCTGTGACATTGTGAGATGTTTGAGAGAAAATGTGCAACGAAAAAGACTGGAACTTTGGTGCAACCACAGATGGCTCCATCATGACAGTGCAACTACCCACACATCCCTGAAAACCACAGAGTTTGTGACTAACAACAACATGGTTATCATTCTCCATCCTCCCTACTCACCAAACTTAGCCCCCTGTGATTTCACTTTGTTTCCCAAATTAAAAATGAATGAATGAATGAATGTATAAGGGGTGGGCCTTAAATGCCATTGCACTGTGACCACAGTGATCTATTGTGCTTCCCCTTGTGACTATCCCCTCAGCAATCCTGCGCAGGATTTTGTACGTGGGGACATCAAAATAGTCACTTGGTTCCATAAAATATTGACCCAAGTGACGTAATCTTAAATAAGCTAAGGCCTCACACTCGCACAGGATATGTGTGGCTGTTTCATTTTCTTCTTGACACCTCTCACAAGTTGGACTATTACTTAGTCCCAGTTTGAAGAGGTGTCATTTAAGGTGACAAGTGTCCTGTAATTAGTCCCACCACCCGTCATAGCTGGTTCCTGTTTAACTTCAACAGTTCCTTCACTCTTTTAGTAGAGGGTCCTCGTATGAGTCCCTTTGCTTGCCTGAGTCCAGTCAAGGATCCCCAGTATTTCTTGTGATTCATATTTGTCCAATCCCTGATTGCCTTTCTGGCAACTTCTATAGAGATGCCACAGGCTGGTTCAGATCCTATGAACAGATGTTCAGCTCCAGTCTTGGCCAATTGGTCTGCTATTTCGTTTCCAGCAATACCCTCGTGCCCAGGTACCCTTATTAGTTGTACCCTGTTGTGTTTGGCCAGTTCCATGAGAGTTCGGTGGCAATCCCAGACCAATTTTGAGTTGATCTGGTGTTTGTCAAGTGCTTTAAGTGCAGCTTGGCTGTCAGATAGAATGTAGATGTTCCTATTTGTGTATAGTTCCTATCTAGATTCTCCATAATACATGCCTTAATGGCATATACTTCTGCCTGGAATACTGTCGTGTGGTGCCCAAGGCTGAAACTAAGTTTCCACCTCGTGCCACAGCAGTACACACCAGCTCCAGTGCCCTTATTTATCTTGGAACCATCTATATACCAGATCAGTCCCCCTTTTTTATCAGGCCGAAACCCGTCTTCCCATTCACTCCTGTCAGGAAACCTGACTGTGAACGGTTTTTCATATACATGTCTCAGTATCATTTTGTCAGGCCCCATTTGTAATATCAGTTGTTGTTTTTTTTTTTTCCCATGTTTTGAGTTATGTATGCATGTCCAAAACTATCGGATCTAGGTTTCCATTGATCACTGCACCGGAGAAGGTAGATTCCTGCCCTGGCCTCTGCCTCCAAATGTAAATGCAGGGGGGGGGAGTCCAAGGAGTGTCTCCAGTGCAGCTGTTGGAGATGTTCGAATGTATGTATGCATGTAACGTGTTTACGTTACCGAATACGCCGTAGAGATGGTTAATTGGGTTTATTTAACAATCTACAAATAACGGCTACAATTAATTATCACAATATCGCGGGTTTCCACACTTTACAAACCCTACAACACAATCTCTTAACACAATCTTCACTTGTCTTCACGTACTGATAACGCGGGAGCTATGCAAGTCTCCCTGAAATACACACTCCGAGTATAACTGTACTACAGCAATCACTATGTCTGGAAAGCACACAATAAGTCTTCCGCTCGCTGACTTCTTAGTTATCGCACACTCGCAGGCTGCTAGGTTTCAACTGATGATCACACTGCTGTGGGTCCGCTTATATAGCCTTGCGCTGTTGCTAGTGTGACGTGGCGGATAGCATAGGACGCTGTTGCTAGCGTGACGTCACCGCTGTTGATTAGCATTGCGTAGTTGCCAGGTTACGGGGCTCGGCTATCTTCGGCTCCGCTCGGCTCTCTTCGGCTCCGCTCGTGACGTCACCGCGCGTTGCGCATTGCGGGGTTATTACTCGCCTATTACCGCGAGCGTTACGTTACCGCTGAGGGGGGAGAGGGGAGCGCTGACTCACCCACCGCGTCACTGCTGGTGTGGGGGGGGGCTCAGATTTCGCAACATGTCACAATATACATGTCTCAGTATCATTTTGTCAGGCCCCATTTGTAATATCAGTTGTTGTTTTTTTTTTTTCCCCATGTTTTGAGTTATGTATGCATGTCCAAAACTATCGGATCTAGGTTTCCATTGATCACTGCACCGGAGAAGGTAGATTCCTGCCCTGGCCTCTGCCTCCAAATGTAAATGCAGGGGGGGGGGAGTCCAAGGAGTGTCTCCAGTGCAGCTGTTGGAGATGTTCGAATTGCTCCTGTGATACCCAAGCAAGCCAACCTTTGCAGTTTGCTAAGTTCTGCCTTGGTTCTCTTGAGTTTAACTCTGGGCCACCATGCTGTGGCGCTGTATGTAATTATGGGTCTTACAGCCGCAGTGTATATCCAATGCACAACGTGCGGCTGCAGTCCCCAAGTTTTACCAAACATGCTTCTGCATGTCCAAAAAGCCTTATAGGCTTTGTTAATGACCTTGTCCAGCTGCGTTTTCCATGTCAGTCCCTTGTCTAATACTAGACCAAGGCACTTGACATCGCTGGAGAGCTGGATTGTCATATGGAAGAGGGTCAGTTCCTTAAGGCCCTTTATATTTCTCTTCCTGGTAAACGCTATAATTACCGTCTTATTAGGATTGATGGATAGACTTGTTCTTTCACACCATCAGACCGTATACAGAGCTGTTTGAAGACACTCTGATACTGTCAAAGGGAATTTCCCATTGTTGAGAATTGCTATGTCATCAGCATATCCTACTGTATAGTTCCCATCATCAAGTCCCCACAGGAGATCGTCGACGACCAGGCCCCACAGCAGAGGTGAGAGCAGGCCACCCTTCCGACAACCCCTAGATGCGGACGCCCCCAGGGTTTCTCCTGATAATGTAGCTGCTATGGTTCTGCTTTCCAGCATAACACTGATCCACCTGCATATTGCAGGCTCTATGCCATGCTCTCCAGTGGCCTGTTTGATTATATCAAAGGAAGTTCTATCGAAAGCTCCCTCTATGTCAAGGAATGCTCCTAAGGCAATATCCTTGTGTTCAGTCGCACTTTCTGTGCATGTTACCACGTTGTGTAGTGCGCTTTTGGTAGATTTACCTGTTTCGTAGGCATGCTGGTTTCGGTGTAGAGGATATGTCCTCAACGCCTCATCCCTGATATGCCTGTTCACTATTTTCTCCATCGTTTTCAAAAGGAAAGACAACAGGCTGATAGGACGATAAGCCTTAGCCTCAGTGTAATCTAGTTTCCCAGGCTTTGGGAGAAATGTCACCTTAACTTGCCTCCATGCCATGGGATAAAACCATATGCCATGCAGGCTCTATATATGCGGCATAGCTGTGGAACTAAGAGTTCTGCCTCATGCTGCAAAAGTGCCGGTACAATTCAATATGTTCCCGCTGACTTAAATGGTGTAGATGTATTCAGTGCCCATCTCATTTTTGATTGGTTAATTATGACTTGAGTCAGGTTCCATTTTGCCCTGTTCGTCTTGCTTTGGCAAGTGCCCAGGTTTTGCTGATCATGTCCATCGTCCAAATTATCAATCAATTTTGAATCAGGAAAGTGAACCCTGAACAATTCGTTCAGTGTCTCCCTTCCTCTTTGGGTATACTACCCGTTAAGACAGCTTAATCATGCTGACCTTATTGATCACCTGTTTTGCCATGATCCTCATGAGTCTGGCACCTCCTGGTACATCATTGATCTCCTGGCAGTGCCTCCTCCATGAGGATTGTGTGGCTTTCCTTATTTCTTTCTTGTAACAGGTAAGGGCTTCATTGTAGGTGTCCCACTGCCCTGTTCTTTTAGCTGTATTAAACAGCCTTCTCATTTTGGTTCTAAGCCCACTCCGCTGTTATTCCACCAAGGCACTCTCCTTGGTTTGCAAGTGGTCCTAGCTGGGCAATTCCTATTAAAGGACGAGATAATAGCCCGTTGCAACTGTTCAACGGACTGATCAACATCCTTTATTTTGCATATATTTCGCAGGATGGTCTCCAGATTTACCTTTAGGTCATCTTTGTAAGACTCCCAATTGGTTCTCTTAGAATTCCTATAAGTAGCTTAATCTACTATAATGTTGTTTATTTGAAAGCATATATATCTGTGATCCAATAGGGACGGCTCATCAGATATGTGCCAGTTACTTACCAGGTTTCCTGTGTTATTTGTCCCTAGTGTCAAATCAATAACCTCCTTCCTATTGCAAACTACAAAGGTAGGTTCTTTACCATGGTTTAGAATATTCTGGTTCAGACTCACCAGAAATTCCATAAGGCTCTCTCCCCTTGGGTTAGTGCCGGTGCTCCCCCACAAAATGTGGTGCGTGTTGGCATCACACCCAATGATGAGTTGCTTTTTCCTGCTACAGCAGTAGTGTATGATGTCCCTCATTTCCTTAGTTGGTGGTGGTTCATCCGAGTCATATGGAAGGTAGACTGTAGCAATACTCAGCTCCTTGCTACCTCCTTGATACGTGTATGTTTTCCTTACCGCTCTAGCATCCCTAGAACAGAACTCCAGCAAAGGCAAGGCTTTAACATGATTCCTGATATAGACACAGGATCTTGCATTATTATTGGATACAGCAGAATAAAATGTTCCCCCTGTGTTAGTTAAGCCCCTTATTTGACCCTTGTATAACCAAGGTTCCTGAATAAGTGCTATATCTGCCTTAATCTCAGCTAGATGTTGGCACAGAGTTGCCGTGACAGCTTTGCTGTGGTGTAGGTTAATCTGAAGAAATTTCATGGTGTATGTATGTATTAAGTGTGTTTGTTTAGTGATCTCTTCCAGTTGGGGAGGGGTCAGTTTCCATCTTATGTCCCTCCTTGTCCTCGGACTGGGTTCCGTGTGAAGGGGTCCCCTGATCTGCTTTGGTCATCTGGGGGGTGGGGTATCTCATCCCCCTCCCCCTCAGAGACCAAGTTAGAAGGTACTGTATCTGTCACAGGTTCTGCCCAGCGCTGACTTCAGGATCATCCAGCACCTTAACAGTCCCGTGTGAGAGTCCTGTAAATATTTTGTAACCGCTCCTCTGTATAATAGTATGGGAGTCCCAGTCTATGAATAAGATGAGCCTTTGGCCTTTTGACTCAGATTGCATATCGAGTACCCTCCAGTTCTCAGTATGAAAAATTGAAAATGAAACTGAAGGGATGACATTTTGAAACAGTGTCTGACAGCCAGAGGTAGTCGCAAGCAGTACACGGCAACATTAAGGAAAATGACTTCCACGTTGCTTTCGAAGTGTGGGAAAAACAATGGAATCACTGTATACATTCCCAAGAAGATTATTTTGAAAGAAATGGCAGCCAAAATTCAGTAAGTTAAGCCAGCATTTCTTTTTTGACCTAGTCTGGGAACTTTGTTTATAGCTCGTATATTATGTGCATGTTTATTGACTTACTTTCTGCACCTATTATATCAGAGCTTTTTCTTGCTGGGATACAGCTATCTTATGTTATGATTTAATATCTGATCCACATTAATGGACAACGATTGGGTTTCAGTTATATTTATTTAGGAATTTCAGGGAATGTTGGAAAATGACTTTGAGGTCATTTGAAGTTACCTGTGTAAACATACTTCCTGCATGCTGTATTTTGGTTTTAATATTCTTTGTTTATTTCTCAGGAATAGGCGAGAAAGATTATGTGTCCCATAGAGCCACCACGCCAACAGGAGCAGATAGTCGTAACATTGCAGACACACCAGAAGTTGTGTTGAGGAGGACACAAAGTTTTGAAGCCGATGAAAAGTAAGTCACTATTTCTATTGTTACAGTGTGACAGACTGACTTGGCATTGCTTCAGCACACTAACAGAGCATAATTTATGTTTTAGCTTGTGAGAAGGTTAATTATCTTGGCTTAAAGACAGTACACTTGTCTGCAAACAAGGTGAAGGGCATAGTAATGTATTGTAGCAGTGCTACCACTAAATTAAATTTCTTTGATTCTCTGAATGATTCCTTTATATCAGTTCAAGACACTAGCACCTTTAATTTAAGTCATAATGTAAACACTTTTTGTTTGAATAATATGATTTGTTGTAAGAATTCGGATTCCTTCCTGAATCTTAGGAATGTGATATGAAGTGCTAAATTTATGAATGACACATGCATCCAAGGATATCTTCCACTTTTTACACTGATTTAGGACAGCAGACAGCATAGACAAAATTTCACTGTTCTGTGGCTTTGTAATGAGGATAACGGGGCAGGAACTACAAATTATATTACACGAAATAATATGAGTTTTTGAAAGGCAAGAATATACTAATCGAGGTCTTGTTCCATGACATTTTTGTGGTGCCAAAACCCAGGAGAACCAGGGACCTTTAGAGAAGAATGCACTCCTTGAGGTCTTGTTTCATGACATTTTTGGTCTAAATGTATCATATGTATCCCTCTCCCTGGTTTCGGCACCACAAAAATGTCATGGAACAAGACCTTGGGGAGTATATTCCTGTGACGTCACTTTATTACTCAATGCCGTAACTACAATTCAATGTAACTATTAACACAAAATGTTGAACAAGTCGTTTCACAGTTGCTTTTTTCGTATTAACAACTCTCACTAGAATATAGACCTGTTGAACTTTCCATGTTGGCTAACCACTGGCTTCTGTCAACACACACACTGCTTCTCTCAACACAACTCCCTTCTGTCAGCGCACACTGCACACTGTCAGCTTCCACTGCTCTCTGTCTTGGCACAACACACACTGCCACGCTTGGTCCTCAGCTGGCTTCTTATAATGTTGCCCTAGCAGCAGCAGCTTCCGCTCTTACGTCACAGCAGGCAAGTGTTGCCTAACACAGCTCCTTTGCTGTTGTGTCACTGCAGGGAAGTGTTTACTGGCAACGAGTGCATTATCGCATCACGCTGAGTCTATGATTGTCCAACACGCAACCTTCCGACTTGTAGCATAGTGCCTCAACCAACTACGCTACTGCGTGCCCCCTAAGAAGATATAGTACTCACATAAATGAACAATTTTTCCCAGTTAGTAAATGCCCAGAAATCAGTGCCTGCTGAGATATGAGCAATGTTTAGGTGGACATCTTAGGTGATCAGCTCTTAGAACCAGTTGTCTTAGGTAACAGACTACAGATGCAGTGTACCATTGTTTTTGGTGAATGATTTACCAGTACTCTTGGAACATGTGCCTCTTCATTAACGCCAACATGTGGTTCGTGCATGGTGGGTCACAACCTCATTTTCTTCAAATTGTGAGACTTTTAGTGAACAGTGGTTTGGGCATGGAAGCCCAGTCAGCTGGCCTGCAAGATCCCCTGACCTTAATCCTCTGGATTTTTGGCTGTGGGGGCACCTGAAGGCTATGATGTGTTCAGTGCCGATTTGTATTATAGCAATGAGTAGAGGATGCCTCTCAGGAAACCAGGATTTTTTGACAGAGTGAACGCCTCTGTGTGATGAGAGCTGTGTTGAAATACATGGGAACCACCTGAAGCATACGAGGGGGTACCCAAAAGAAACCAAACTTATTTTTTTTTAACTTATTTATTCAAATTTTAAGCACAAACCTTCAATCCCCTTCAAAGTACTCTCCACTTACACTAATACACTTGTCTAGTCTTTTATTCCATTTTTAAAAACATTGTCTAAATTCATCTTTTGAGATGCTTGACAGCGCCTCCGTCGTTTTTTCCTTCACCTCAGCAACATCAGCAAAACGCTTTCCTTTCATGTCTCTTTTCATTCGAGGAAACAAAAAAAAAGTTTTGATCATTTCGGGATTCTTCTTTCAAAGCACAGCATGCTTCCACGCAACCTTGTTTTTGTTCAGCAGTCAGCAGTCATGGCACAAATTTCGCAGCCACCCCTTTCATTCCCAAATATTCTGTCAAAATTCGCTGAACTGAGCTCCAAGTCACTCCCGACAACTCCACAATTTCTTCAATGGTCCGTCGTCGATCTTCCTTGATGATTTCAAGAATTTTTTCAACATTTTCATGTGTTTGGCTTATCGACTCAGGAATGTTAGCTCTATGCGCTCATAGCGGCAAAACGCGGTACTACAAAAGCTCTGCCCACAAAAAAAATTAATTCAGTTTCTTTTGGGTACCCCATCGTATGCTGTAGAGATTACATGAATATCTCCAGTATCTCAGCGGACATTGGTTCTGAACATATCTCCGGGAATAGGGACTAGCTTTATTTATTGGGCCCAACTGAATAGGTTCCACCTGAAGACAGAGACATAATCCAGTTTCCAAAATGTTTTGTGTTTTAAATAAAAAGCACAATAATTGAACCACTCTGTTTCTTTAAATATAGACTCTTTTGTCCAGTTGAGGGAGCATCATCCTTTCAGAAAGGATCCTGCTGCATTGAGTTAGTTAAAAAATGCCTCTCAACTATTTAAAGTCTTGACAGTTAAAGTCTTGAATGGAATTTTGGCTGTGCAAGTTTGCATTGTGAGAAGGTGATGAAAGAAGTGACATAATCATTAAGTAAACGGTTTTGTTTGTTTCATTGTCTCCATGAACATGAACAGAAACTGACCAAATTCCAACCAAGGCAGTGAAAGATCAGTTACAGATACATATTTAGAGGGAGTGATGAGCAAAATTACATCAGAACAGTTCTGAGTACTTGCAGTAATGAAATGTTATGTGCAGTTGCCTGTTATTCCTAAAAAAAATCCATGTTTTTATACTCCAATCAATATTAGGTTAGATAATGGTTTATTATAGTTTGTGTAGGTAAATATTTCCAATTTACAGTGGTCGAGAACAGTGATACTATGAAATTTGACTTACACTTTTCTGCATTCTAGTTCAGTTCGGAGAAATCTTGTTCAGCTTCAAGATAAGGCATTCTCATTTTCAGATAGAATTATATATTCTTAATAAAATATCTTAGTCTGTATTTTATTCATGTTTGAAGATTTTTCAAGTCTTAATTTTCTTATATTGATTTTTATTCCGTTGCAGTCAAGTATAGAAGTAGCCTTTTAAAAGTACTTGGGAATACACCTTTGCTCTATTGTGCTATTATAAGTGCAGATTTTGTTAAGGCATTCATGTTTTTTAAAAGATTGATTTAAGGAAATAATTTTGTTCACATTTGAAAGAGGATAAGGTCAAGCAAAATTTAAACAGAAACTTGAAGCTAATCTTCACTGTTGTGATTTATTTAGTTTAATCTGTGTAACTCTTGGGTTTCTGTTGAAATCCCTTAACAATGTTTGACTCATTACTTTCATATAATATTTATTAAACAGTGTGGTCTTTATGGCAAGATTTGCACCATTCTTTAAATGTGGACTGACATTGCTGCATGCAGATTTTCTTCATCCTTGTTTTTTTCCCCTTTGTGTTGTTTTTGTTTTCATGCATGCAGGTTCTATCGCAGATACATGGAGTTGCAAGCAAGAATAAAAGCTGGCTCTTGCCCTACCTTACACTCGTCCCCCGTCTCAGCCCTTCCAACCCGCTCCGCATCTCTCCGAGAGAAACACCTGCCAAGGTAGGCCTCCACTGCACGAAAGCCCCTCTTTGCAGTGCTTCTTGCTCCCTGTGCCTGCTTTGTTCATATGTTAACTGCTTTAATATAATACATGGAGAAGACTGGTAATTGGAATTAACATTTTCTCCATAAAAGTCATTATGCTGAGATGTCATTGCCTTCTGTTTACCAAATGTTTACTTAGCTGTTCAGTATTCATTTTTCTAGAAATGTTGCTTTTTGTTGTTCAGAAACTGAAGATGAATGTGGTTTTAACAGTAACTGGCCATAATGATAGGACATACATAATTCCAAGTTCTCACAACTAGACAAAATTTAAAAACAAATTATATTTATTCTTTATTCAATTTTGATACAGTAATGCAACAAACAGAAAGCTCTTGTAAGCTCAGCTTTAGATGGTGGCTTTTGTGTTTTAATTTCTGTACAAATGTTAGATACAACTAGTGCCTTTGTTTACTGAAACAGAAGTTCAGTATTATAGTAATATGAGGGCTGTTCGGAAAGTAACTACTGTTTATTTTAGGCAAGTAATGTAGGAGCGGGGGACAGCTCGTGCATGCAAGATAGTGTCACATGACTCATTGCCTTGACTCATTGCCTTGTAAACCTTACTGGACATTGTCTGTTCCTGTCTCTACCGAGTGAGTTATGATGTGCCCTGCAGTTGATAAGCTGCCAGCTGCAGTATTCATGCTAAAAGCATAAGGACCCTGGAAATTCACTGAATTATGCATGGTTTATGGCCAAAATTTAATGAGTGAAAGACATTAAGACAGTGGTGTGGAATGTTCAAAGATGGGCTAACAAATGTTCACAATGAAGAGGGAAGTGGTTAGCCATTTGTACTGGGTGATGATCTTGTTCAGAGTGTTGAAAAAGATTTGTGAATGACAGTGCTTCACAATTGCAGAATTATCGTATGAATTTCCTCAAATTTCATGCACTGTTCTCTACAAGATAATCGAGTTGGGCTAGGCTATTGCAGTCTTTCTGCAAGGTTGGTTCTGAAAATGATCACTGGTATGCACAAAATGCAGAGAATGGTTTTGGCTTTGACTTTTATAGACCAATACCACAAAGATGGCAATGAATTTGTCAGTCACATCATACAAGTAACAGGTGATGAAATCTGGGTTTCATCTGTGAATGTTGAAACCAAAGAGCAGTAAAAGCACTAGATGCGCACAAATTCACCAAGAAAGCATAGAAGGTTTAAACAAACATCCATCAGAAAGCTGATGACAACTGTTTTCTGAGACGGAAAGGAATGCTGATAGTGGAATTCATGCCACAAGGGACTGCAGTAATGTCAGAAGTGTATTGCGAAACACTAAAAGAACCTGCATATGGCAATTCAGAACAAAAGGTATGGAATACTGACATCCATTATAGTGCCTCTCCACGACAATGTGTGTCTGTGTACAGCTGCTTGCACTCGAGCTCTGCTGGAGCATTTCAGCTGGAGTTGTTAGCCTACCCAAAGAACTGGTTGTGGTCAGAGTGCTTCAACAATAATTAAAAGATGATGGAAGGTGTCAAAATGTGGCTGAGCTCACAGGCAGCAGACTTCTTTGACAGTCATACAAAAACGTACACCCCCCATATGACAGGTGCCTCAGTTCTGGCAATGACTGTGTTGAGAAGTGGCTCAAGTATGTATATATTGTCACATGTGGGATGGTACATACATTATACAGTTCCCTGTTACACACTAGGGGTTTCAGTCTTCACTAGTTGTATCCTGGCAATGGACATTATTCCACTTCCTTTGCCTGCTGCTGCAGCACACTTCACAGGTGAACCCTCAACTGACTCCTGTAGTGTCATTTGTCTTCAAGATAACTCCTTGGCATGGACCCCCCAGAAAACACAGCCTCTATTGTAGAGGTGTATTTACCTCATCATTGCAACAGTCGTGGCGCATACCACATAGAAAATGTCGTTTTTCTTTTGTTCCGTGCATGAATGTTGCGGACGTTACCTAGCAACAGCCTGTGTTTACAGAGTCACTGCTTAGCAGCGGGTCTATACGCCACAATATTTTTATATGTAATACATTTTTTTTCCTCATTGCTTGTTTTGTTAACTTTCCAAATAGCCCACATATATAGTTCACTCACTCAATCACTCATGGAGCTGAGCCGTTCTTGAGAAGCTGCCAGCTGTGCAGCTTCTCAAGAACTTTCTAGCATTTTAAAGTAAAGTTACATTCATGATAAATTAATTAGATAGTTGCTTTTTGTTTGATGAACACTAATATGTAAAGGGATATAGTTAAAATAGCATTCATTTAGAATTATGTGAATGCAAATAAAATTAAAGCAGAGAAGGCAGTTGTAATTTCATGTGTCATGTTCTTTGTATTTCTTGCTAGCAGTTCTTCTGTTACCAGTGGTATTATGAGCTCTAATGACTCAGCCTAAAACAGGCTAAGTGGCTGTACAGAGTGGGCAATCAGGGATAAAAGCATGGCAGGCATGTCAGTTTTTCACCTTTCCAGAAGGGTTATGGGGACCTACACAGTGTGGTACTATAAGGGGTAAAGTCAGCTGGGTTGTGTAGTTGGCCACAATTGTATATGTTTTAGCCTTCAAAACAAAGGTAAAAGGTAAATTTGCCTCTGTGTTTAATTAAGTGTTGTGCCATGAAAAATGTATTGAGAGTGGAGGTATAGCTCTGCCATTATTGATCTTGGCGCTAGATGGAGGTGAGTGGCCTGCTTCATACCCTTGCCCCTTTACCCCCAGGGAAAGAGCTCCTGGTAGCCATTGGAAAGGAGGCTGGGTGGGCTTGAGAGCCAGTCTGGACACTGGGGAAGAGAAAAATCCCTTGCCTCTGCTAGGAATCAAGTCCGGACTGTCCAGCATGTAAGCTGTCACTGTACCAACTGAAATATCCTGGCTCCTTAGCCTTGTAAACACTGGCCTTCAAAACCCCCACTTGACACTCCTTCATTTAAAGGGGTAGTTTTAAATTATAATTGCATCAGACTAGAAAGAAATATCACAGTAAAACAAAGATTACGTAATAGAGGAATGAATTCTTCATGCATTGAAAAAGCATCATCATTATACTCTCAGTTGAGTATTCTTAATTTTTTCTTCTTACTCAAGTGTTACCATAGTATTCTTCAACATCATCCTGTGCGCATGCTAAATTGACTGATAAATGCAGATGCTTCAAGTGTCCTTGTATATTTACCGAAGTTCACAGCTCTCCTGAAAGTGCTGAGTGAGGAAAAAAAGGGGGGGGGGACCTAAAGTGGAGAACGGCCTGCCACTGAATGCTCTTACATCATGTTAGCAACATATATAGGTTCTTTGCTTTTTCTACTGGGTTTGTTACTCTGCTTCATTCAAATATGAACAAAGAAAACTGTAGATGATTGGTAACAATCTGCCACTCAACACTGTGGTGTCATTCTAATCATAAGCATTATTTCATTTCCACTAACACAGTTTACTTGCCCCACCTGTATTACCAGGTCCCACTGTTACAGAAGCTGAAAACAGAATGACAAGAAAAATACTTCTTGTACGTGGGTTCTGAGAATCATTAAATTGTTGCAGTTTATAAGAACAGCTCCCCCCATTTTTTTGCACTACAGCGCCAGTGGGCCTAGGCATACCTCCGTGAACGTCTCCGTTCACGAACAGCTCTTTAGGAAAATGAATTTGAAATAAACTGTTTATGAAGACATTGCTGTAACCTTGAAGAGTAAAAGACTGCTTTTGTTTGAGTTAGGTTCTCATGCATGACATCAGCAGGGCTCCTCAATAAGAAGGTATTTGACTCATGATATGTTGGATATTTGGCCACTTGAGTACCAGGATATCGGATACGTGTCCTTGAAATATTATTGAAGCAGTGCTCGGGCATAGAGTTACTTTTGCTTTGCATGGCATTAGCAGATCTCTCAGATTATTTAATGTCATGTCCCCCTAGAACTGTACAAATAGGACTTTATAATTTAGTAATTATATATCTCAAAATGTGCAGGCGTGGAACCAATGATGAGGCAAAGATTACATCTTGCCCATCACAAGAGGTGCCGACAACAACAACAGCAGCAACAACTACAGTGACAACTACAACTGCTGCCATTGTTACAACCACAGTAACAAGTTCACCAGCTAAAACAACTGCCACTTCACCTACCACCACCAGTCCACTACCAACAAGTCAGATCAGAAGGTAAGTCTGGCAACATTGGTATTTTTTGTGGTTGTGGTAAAGTTCTCAGTGCTCTTTTAATAAGTGAGAGCATATTATTATCATACTTTATCAGTAGTAGCAGATGTGAAACCTGTGCACTACGCTTGTCTCTGAGATAAGTACTTGGCTAATTTCAGTCCTGCCATGGGCAGTGTTTCAAGTGCTAGTCCTTCAACACCAAGCACACCCACAACTCCAGGGGGGAGTAAGCTTAGTCCTGGAAACATCTTTAAGAATTTCTTCAAGTGCGTAGACTAGTTACCAGTTTACAGTGTCTGATGCTTTTGCATTTAGTTTTCTCTCGTTTGACACTTGTGTCTGGTGTGTGTGTTCATTGTTTTTCCATCATAAATCCATTCTTTTGGCCTGTACAGTGTTTACTATAATGAACGATGCCAGTGCATGAAACAGGGCAGGGACCCTGTGAACATGCCAACAGAAAAAAAATACTGGACATTTCCATCCACTGTAGTTTCTCTAGTCAAATTCAGTTCAGATTTTCTCACTTTCACTCCCTAAGCATCTGATGCTCTCTGGCAAGAATATGCTCTTGAGTTAGTGCAGTGTTATTTGTTACATGTATGATTCAGGCTTCCGTGTAGTGAAGGTTATGTGTTAAACACTGAGTACGTGTTCTTGTTCACAAAATGTATTCCATACTTAGACACCCAGTAAATAATATTACTGAGTTATGAGTAATCTATATTTTCTAATACCTTGCCATGTTTTCTTGACAATTTTTACTTGTTATCATGGTGTTTCATGGGGGAAAAAAAAGAATACCATATTTACCCAAATATAAGACAAGATTTACTCTGATCCATGAAACTGATATTACAGTGCAGTGCTGGCAGCATTCATGCATATTGCTTAATGGTTGGTGGAATCCGATGGTCAGAGCTTTAGTGTGTGTGTATTATGCCCGTGTTTGTTTCTGTGAGAACAGAAAAGTAGAACACTGTGGTATAAAGGGTAAGTGATTGTGTTGAAGTAGAAATTTTAATGTCATGTATCAAAAGAGATGCATTGTTGCTACAACATGAAATAAATATTAGCTGTGTTGTATCATTCAGAAACAGGTTGGACTGTAAAGAAATTCGAGTGAGAGAGCAGAGGATGTTAATAATATAAGGACTGTTTTGAAAGTAACCTCCGCTCATTTCAGGAAACTAATGTAGGAGCTGGAGAGAGCTCGCACATCCTATCTGAGATCCATTTTAATATTATCCACCGACATATGTCCTGGTCTTCCTAGTGGTCTCTTTCCTTCTGGATTTCCCATCAATATCCTATATACATTCCTCTTCTCCCCCATTTGTGCTACATGCCCTGCCCATCTCATCTTTGACATGATCATTGTAATTATACTTGGAGAATAGTGCAAGTTATAAAGCTCATGCAGTTTCTCCCTCCTCCCATCACTTCGTCCCTCTTTGGTGCAGATATTCTCCTCAACACCTGTTCTCAAACACCCTTAATCTCTGTTCCTCCCTTAATATCAGAAACCAAATTTCACACCCATACAGAACCATGGGCAAAATTATAGTTTTGTATGTTCTAATTTTTACATTTTTAGACAGCAGATGAGAAAACAGAAGCTTCTGGACTGAATGATGGCAACCTTTACCCAGATTCTCTAACCTCATAATTGACTCCTGAATCATATTTTGATTTGTTATAGTAGTTCCCAAATATGAGGGTTGGAACTTTAATAGTGGCAACACTGCTGTAGAGACGCCATGCAACGGAACCAAATAATGTCGCATATACCACACGTTAGTTACATACCTACCTTACCTCAGAGCAAATGGACTCTCCCTTCCCACTTCACGTGGATGCGCAGTGATGAGAAGAACAGAGCCTTGTGTTAGCTGGCTGTCTGATGTAGTGTTGTCACGATGTTTTCGAAAGAGAAGAATGGAGTTGGATAAACATTGAATGTGCCAGAGGCCATACAGCACAATAGAGTCATCAGAGTCTTCAAGAGGCTTGCGTGGAATCTGCATTGCCTTACAGAACAGTGGCAAGGTGGGTAAAAGCCTTCAACGAGAGACACCAAAATGTGGCAGACATGCGTCGGCCAGGTCGTCCTAGTGTCAGTGAAGAAGTGTATACTCTTTCCGCATTACTGGAGAGTGATCAATGCCATACGATTTGTGAGCTTGCACGAGAAACAGGATTAGCGCATATGGTGATATGGTTATGGTGATTCTTTTGTACAACTGTGATGGTGTTATCCTAACACATACCGTTCCCTGACAGCAAATCATCAGTGTGCAGTATTACTGTTCATTTTTGGAACACAACCAGCGACCAGCTTTGAGAAAGAAGCAGCAGCACTTTCAGCAGAATCCACCCATCATTTTGCAGGACAGTGCTTGGCAGCATGCAGAGCAAGCTTTGGCTGATTTGTTTGATCTATGGGGCTGGAATGTGCTGTACCATCCACCATACTCCCCGGACTTAAGCCCTTGTGACTTCGACTTAATTCCTAAGATGAAGGAACCACTTTGTGGCATTCACTTCAGAACTGTTCCAGAGATTCTTCAGGCAGTAGACCGCTCCATTTGTACTGTCAGCACAACAGGCGCTGCTAAAGGTATCCTGCGACTTCCACATTGCTGGCAACTGGTTGTACACAATGATGGTGACTACACTGAAGGACAGTAAAACTTCGAAACATGCATCTCTTTGTATCAGTTTAAATAAATAGTTGCCACTATTAAAGTTCCAACCCTCATATCTGAACTGTGCCACATTTTCAAACATCTGTTACCTATCTTTATATCATTATTTTGGTAAGCATTCTGATGAAAAGACAGCAACATATACTTAGTTTTCTCTGCGTTTACTTCTAGACTGACTTTCTTGTTTGCATCAATTCAAATTTCTGTGTTTTTCTGTATGGTATCTATGTTATCTCTAGTAGATTTACATCATCAGCATAGACCAACAGCTGATGTGTCCCATTTCATTTCAGACCCATATGGTTTTCCTGCACCTTTCTAATGAAATATTCTAAAGCTAAGATGAAAAGCAGTGACGTTAAAGCATCTCCTTGTTTTAGACCATTTTGAATAGGAAAATTATCAGACAAATGTTTACCTATATCGAATTTACAATACATTTCGTTCAGACACATTTGAATCACCCTGACTTGTTTCATGGGTAACCCAAACTCTGGGATAATATTGTAGAATACTTCCCTCCTAACTGAATCATAGGCTTTTTTTTAGGTTTTTGAATAGGTGATGTTCTGTCTCATTGTGCTTCGAATTTTTTCTCCAGTTTCTCCATTCTAATGAATGGTAAAATCTGATCAGTCGTTGGTCTGGTACATCAAAATCCACACTAATGGTCCCCAATAATTTCATCTATATATGGACTTAACCTTGAGAGAAGGATATGGGATAAAATTTTGTATGATGTTGATGGTGGTGATATCCCAAGATAATTACTGCCATCAGTTTTTATCACTCTTCTTGTAAATTGGTACAGTAATAGACTCTTTCCACTAATCAGGCAAGCCTTACATATTCCAAATAGAATTGATGATTGTATGGATCTTAGACCTTAATGTTTCACTTCCTGCTTGAATCAGTTCTGGTGAAATTTGATCACTACCTGGCAATTTACACTTTTTCAATTTTGAAATAACAATTTCAACGTTAAAAGGACTAGGATCAGGTACTAATGGCTCAACTGTATATATTTCTATCGGCCTAACATCACTGACCCTATGTACATTCATTAAATGTGAGTAGTACTTCCACCTATTCAGAATGTTGTGAGAATCTTAAAGCAGCTTTGATAATCCTACCAGCTGCAAAATTTGCAGTTATCCACTTTCTTCATGGTGATACATGAGTGCTGTGGAAATCCACTGTGAATTATGCCCAGTTTATGGCCAAAATATAATTAGTGAAGGAACTGTTAAGACAGTGGTGTAGAATGTTCAAAGATGTGCTAACAAATATTCAAGATGAAGAGCTAAGTGGTCAGCTGCCTGTAGTGAGTGATGATCTTGTTCAGAGTGTTGACCAAAAAATTTGTGAAAGACATCTCTTCACATTTGCATAACTTTCATGTGAATTTCCACAAATTTCATATATGTACTGTTCTGTTTGAGATTATCACAGTTATGCTAGGCTATCACAAGTGCTACGCAAGATGAGTTCCGAAAATGTTCACGAGTGCACACAAAACACAGAGAATGGCTTTGACTTCTTTAGAATGATACCACAAAGATGGCAATGAGTTTCTCAGTCACATCGTACGAGTAACAGGTGATGAAACCTGGGTTTCATTTGTGAATGGTGAAACCAAGGAGCAGTCAAAGCACTGGATGCACAAACATTCACCAAACAAGATGAAAAAGTTTCAACAAACGTTTTCCGCCAGAAAGGTGATGGCATCTGTTTTCTGGGACCGGAAAGGAGTGCTGATAGTGGAATTTATGCAGCAAGGGACATTTATGATGTCAGAAGTGTATTGCAAAACACAAAAGTACTGCATATGGCCATTCAGAACAAAAGGCACGGAATGGTGCCATACAGTGTAGTGCCCCTCCATGGCAATGTGCATCTGCATACAGCTGCTTACATTTGAGCTCAGCTGGAGCATTTCATGTGGGAGTTGTTTGACCACCCTCCTTACATCCCTGTTTGCATTCCCAGTTCCTAGCCTACCAGAAGAAGTGGTTGTGATCACAGTGCCCGAACAATAATTAAAGAGTTACTGGAAGGTGTCAAAATGTGGATGAGGTCACAAGTGGCAGACTTCTTTGACACAAGCATACAAAAGCTTATATCCCAGCATGACAAATGCCTCAGTTCTGGTGGTGACTACATTAAGAAGTAGCTTATGTATGTGTATTTTTGTGTGTAATTTTTTCTCGTTTTGTTAAGAGCTCTCCAGAATTTACCTTCCAAACAGCCCTCATATGAATGTAATGAATATTGGGACTTGCCATTGTATTCTTAATGATGGTTACACTAATATTGTTATAAATATATATTTTGAATATTTAAAATTTTAAGATTGGGTTATCTTATATTTGAATAAATATGGTATATGAGTGTGACTTGAAAAATGGAAACAAAATTCCCCGGCTATAAACTTGTTATGCAGTTCAAAGATGTGACTTTCGCCCTTGGATATTAATTTCTTCCCTAAAATTGAGATGCATGTAATATAAGGTGATTCTAAAATACAGCTATTCATACATAAGTGGGCAAAATTATGGAAAAAAGAGGAAGATAATCAGGATATGGCATAAGCATGTTCTGTCACATCAGATGATTCTAGAGACTGATGATTTACCTTGTTTTGGTGATATCACTAGTAACCTCTTAAGTTATCTCTGCATGATTTTTTTTACTAGTAATAATCACATCTGGAATGTAGAGAGTAGTTCCTTTTTGTGCTGTCTTGTTTCATTGTTCAAAGTCTTAAGAGTAGTTGAGATGGAGGAATAGAAATAACTTGTAAGGTTTAACTTTATTGATTCTGGTCCGTCACTCCAGTTAAATATTATAAAATGATTTGACAACACCATCCAGTGTGACTCAAATGTATATTTATGTGAATGCCTTCACATGTTTCGGTCAGTTATGACCATTTTTGTAAGGCATAACAGCATGTTGAGGAAACTACTATTACACTGATCATAGTACATCAAGTTGAATCAGAGTTTTATAAAAAAGATTTTAATTAAGATAAATGTGGTTGAGTTAAAGTTATTAAAATTCTTATTATTTAAAATCTTACACTGCTAAGGTTCTTGTCTTCGTGCCTCTTCTATCAACAGGAGATTGGGGTGATATTGCCGTCCTTGAAAGTCCATGCAGTGTTGTTTTATATAGTTTTATTTTTATATTTAAATAATTAATTAGTCATGGATCTGTAAGAGTTTAGTAAATCCAATCCCCAATCTAAACACCATCTACAATCACTTCATACCTGTGACAGTACTTTGCATCTTTAATGTGTTCTGTATTGTAGTTAATGACACACAAAATAATTGGGATGACCCTTTTGTTGATAGTTATGCTTCCATTTTTATCTTTTCCATAGGCATGTTCATACTAAGTTTTGAAAGCTCAGAATGTTTGACATGTTCACTGCATATCTGTCCAGTATCCAACAGTAAAACCAGCATGATTATTTAAAATATTAATTATTGTGTTGTTTGGTAATAATTAAGATATTTTTCAAAATTAATTTAACTGAGATACACATTGATTATAAATCAGACTGTTGTTAAAATATTACAAATTTTTCATGTTATACTTCTTTTTGGCATGTGAACTGTAGTATTATGCTGGGAATGCAAGTGTCTGCATGTAGTCGCATGTCGGTATTGAAATTTGTGGCATAAGTCTTGTGATGTGAGGATGAAATTGACTTTAATATTTGCCACATATCGATTTTCGTGCTGTGAAACAGTTTTAGTAGTATTGTATTGCACCCACGCATGTGGGAGTTGGTGTGTGCATGCAAGTTTACATTTAAATGTCATTACAAACCAGAAGTGGGTTTACTTTGAAGAAATTTATTTGAAAAATGGAAATTCATGGGAGTTTATATTGAATTGATTGTCACCCTACAGCTGACCTTCAGATACTGAGCACTGAATTTTGCTCTTCTGAGTTAATAAATAAAAACACTGTGTTACAAAATATCTGATATAAATATACCATATAATAATACTGAAATATCAGAGTGAACATCTTTAGCTAGGTATGGACAGTAAAGTGCCACTTGACGAAAGGTCGAGTTTTGTCATTAAAATACCATATTTGTAGTAACTCATGTTTAGGCTCATTGTTTTGCCAGCATCAGAAGCAAAGATTTCTTCACTGTATTATGGTATAACATTATGCAGTGTTCCAGTGCTCTCAGAAGTGACTCCAAACTATATAGCCAAGAATTAAATGAAATTACTTGCTTTTGGCACATTTTCAGTGAAAAGTTGCAATTATGTGCATATTTAGTTCACAGTGGCTGTCTGCACTAAACAAATTTTCCTTCGAATTTGGTATTCGGAAGTTTACTAAAAGTTGTTGGCACATTCAGTTTTTGTTAAAATTGACTGCATGATGGACGCTACATAAAGATGTATGTGTGTTTCTACTTACATTTTGAGTGTAATTCATGCTTAACTTGTGAAGAAATAAAACACATTTCTTGCACAGTGTATTTTTAATTGTGAATTTATTTTTCTAAATAGCAGTGGGTTTCACCTACCAAATTATGCATGAAGACTGGCCGAGAATTAGAGGCAATTTTGCTACATTTGGCAAGATGCTCTTGGTTTGGATGACTGGAATATTGCCCTTTTATCTTTGTGCCATTTCAGAATTAGCTGTGTACATGTATGTATACTGTTATAATCCATTCTGCTAGGTGCCCAGGAATGTGTATTTAATATTATATTCTTCTGCAGTTTTTAGGTCATGTGTTGCACACGTAATTTTTTAATTTACACATGAACACATAAGGACATTGGCACTAGACACAGAAGTTGCGTATGATGAGTTAGTGATGTATTTTGTTGAATATATGAAAGTTTTTATATCCTTAAACTAATCAGAAATATGCATGAAGGAAACTACATTTGTTTTGTAAGTTTTTATTACTTTATATTGACTTTATCAATATTTCACTGGTTTATTTTAATTTTTTGTGATCTTCAAGTTTTTAAACACAGTTCCTTCTTAGCACATTCTCTGCTGTACTGCATGCTTAAGTTTTTATAGTACAACATATAGGTAGATCAAACCTGGAAGGACCAGACTTGTTCTAAACTCATCCTAGCAATTGATAAATATTTTGCTTTCTTTTTATGGTTATCTGAAAAAACAGCATATACACTTGGAAAAGAGACTAGGTGGACCTGAAAAGCTAGATCTAATTTGTTGACTCTCCATTGCAGCAGCATTGATAGTGTTACAAAAGATGGCAAAAATTTGCACATTAGGCATTCACTTACTGTAATATTTTGGTGCAGGTCATTTGTGCCACCAGTACGAGATGAAGAATCAGAAACACAGAGGAAAGCTCATGCAAAACGGGTAAGAGAGACAAGAAGATCTACTCAGGGAGTCACATTAGAAGAAATCAAGGTAGCAGAACAGCTGGTCAAAAAGAAGAATCAGCAGCAGTTGCACCAAGCAACGCAACAACTAAGCAACCATGAACAGGTACAGCTCAACTTCTCATGTCAGGTGTCTGTTTCAGTCATGAATGGTATGCTTCACTTAGTTGTACTGTTATCATTATCATTAGTTTTAATCATGAAAAATGTTACGAGAACTTGCACAGTGAGATTAGAATTTGAAAGAATGGCGTGTATGCGGGTTTTTCACAGTAACATAATTCCATATTGCTCCTGAGAAGAGATGTGTTTGAAGCTGACATAATAGTTTTGTCATGTCTGTATGAGTTTTAACTACATAAAGTGAAATCCTCATGTAAGGTTGTTTGGAGAGTAGGGCCTGTGCACTGAAGTGGGGAAAATCATAGTTGTAGAAAATGTAACATTCAGATTATTGTCTTAGGATCATTGTACTTGAAGGAAGGAAACTTTAAACAGAGGAATAATATATGCTGTTCCACTGTATGTGAATTTCATATTTAGAAGGAATTAAGTTGTTGAAAAATGTATTGATATCTTCAGTTGAACATATATTTTTATTCTTTTTTGCAATTTTAAATACCTAAGCCCATTTTCAGCACACTTGACTTGTTTGCACATGTGATTATGCCATGACCATAAACTACCACTTGGGAGACCTGGCATTGATAGAAGGATGATATTAAAGATAGAAAATGGGATATGAGGATGTGGACATAATTTATCTGGCAAAAGATAATAAGTAATGGTAGGCTCTTGTGGATATGGTAATTTCTTGATGAGCTAAGTGATTTTTGGGTTATTAATAACAGCTCTATGGAGTTGGTTGGTTATGACATTGAATCTTCAGAAATTGAGAAGACTGTGACATATAGAGAAGTAGGTTGGAATGAGACATAAATATCATTTTAAGTTTTTCATTCTTCTTAAAACACAGGAACGATTTCATAATATTTTAGGCCTACATGGTGAATATTCATGAAACTACTTAGTGTTTATGCCTTACATTATGCAACTAAAGGGACACACTTCTCATAAAATAGAGATTTTGTGTGAAAAGAGGAAATGCTTCATTCTCTTGAGTATGTCGTGCAGCCCATTTTTTAAAAATAAAACAATTAAAAGAGATTTATGTGAAGTTATTGAAGTATTACAAGAGTTGAAATTCAACACAGCTTCTACCTTTATTTCTACTACAGTCTCATACTTTTGATGAAGGTGCTTCCCCCCACCAAGTCAGATCCACCATTTCTTGCAAGCACCTCACTTTGCATCCCTGATTTGCATTCAAACCCTAGATTTCTTGTTCTTTTGCCAATGCTAAGGCCTTCATGCTGAACACTGAAACTCACTTCTCATATATTCACAATGTACTTTCCTTTTGAGATTGACTGCTGAGGTCTAAATCTTGGAAAGGGACTTCACAGTAGATGAAATATAGTTGCAATGCAAGGATCACTTAGCACCCATCCCTGCAATCTGTTCTGTTCCACATGTTTACATAGCGTTTCTTCTCTTTCAAGATATTTTGTTTTCTTGCCATGAAAAGTTTTCCAGCTTCCATTGCTTTGCAGCAGCATATTTCTCTCTTCTTTCTCCATTCCTTTATACAACTTAACATATTTTCCACTAATCACATAATTTCTGATTTCTCTCTCAGTAACAATTTTCAGTTTCTCTAATTCTGCGTGTTCATAAATGGATCTCTTTTTCCTTACACATTCATCTTGAGTTGTTCATAAGTAGCCATCATTGTTTTCCCATAACTTTCTGCACCAACTATATATGCAATGTTGCATCCTAGTTAGTTAGTTATTGGAGAGGGTGGGTTTCCCCATGCACTTAGACCAGTATTGGTCCATTGTGCTTCCCTCTATGATATTCTACCAGTCTCTATACCCTACCGATATTGGTGCGTACCATCAGTCCCGACCGAGCCAGCGAGTTCGGCCTCTACTGGCTTGGCGGTATCTATAATGCTTCCCCCCATCTATCAGAGGCGTTACAGACTACTGTTGGGTGGGAAGCGTCCTTGAATTTGGCTCAGTGACCTCCTTTGGAGATATGAGGTTCTTTTACGTGCCGTAAAGCTACGACACGGGACCCACGGCTTAAAAGTCCCTCCCGGAGGACTTGTTCCCTGAATTTTTCCGCCCTTAAAAATTCCACGACCTCCGCCGGGTTTGAACCCGCGTACCACGAGTCATGAGGTGGGAACGTTACCTCTAGACTACAGAGGCTGCTATGTTGCATCCTAAGTTATTTATGGCTAGCAGCCCATAAAGGTCCCATTAACTTGCTCTGCCATACTCTTATCTAAGAGGAGGTTTACATTCCTTAACCCGTTGCCGTGGTTCGTCGTGTATGTTTCGTCAGGGATTTAAATCGTCTGGGGGGGTTCGACGTGTATGTTTCGTTCAGCTGCACACCTATGTTATAACGCCCATAATAATTGATGGTTTTGCTGTAGATTGTTAGATTTTTCGCTGGCCTGTTGTCAGTAGAACAGAGTATAAATAAGA